AACAGTAACATGGTTCATGGTATAGGAACACACAGCTTCCAGATCCCAGATAGAGTCAAAAACAAGTCAGTGATGATTAACTTCCTCTTTATCTGCACGTCTTACACAACCGCTGCTGTGGACCAGTGCCATACAGTCTGTGAGCAGTGCACACACATGAGGCCTCAGACACACACAGTACAGATAGTGAACACAGCATTCAACGTAAATGTAATGTTTGTTTGACATGTGTGGTGCTTTTGGGTGTATAAACTTTTCATGTGTTTAGGTAGCATTGTAGCCAGATTAGACATGTTAAACTACCGAACCAGAGGATTCAAATGTTCATATTTTGAGGAAATTTTTTAATGTGATCCATAACCAGAAGAAGAAATAGGTGTAAATGTGTAGTTTACATGTATCTAAATGATTGACTGACATACCTTCAAATATATCCACATAGCTTTGTTGCATGCTGAGGGGTGTGATCTGGGTATGTGTTCATAAGTGTGACAATTTAGTAATAGCGTACTTTTACAAAGTTCAATTACATGACAGCAAAACTAAGAACCAGCCCATATTATGCATTAAAACCAAAGGCTATAAGCTAAGCTAAAGACCTGGCTTACTGGTGCATTCGAGTCAAGCAGCAGGAGACAAAACGCTTTGCCTGCAAGTCGCTTTCATCAACATCCAAGCTAACACCAAGTGTAAGTGGCTTGAAAGAGCTCTTTTTTCATTTCAATCTAATAAAAAATGTGTTCTGTAAATAAAGGCCCTGCACATCTTCAAGTGATTACAATTGTGTTTTTGTCATTAGACTTTGAGACTGTGTCCCTCGCTTTAATTGCAACTGTAGAGCCGATGAATGGGAGTCGGAGGCATATTATGTGTTTAATATGGAACTCCACACTTTATTTTCCATTTACTCAGACACACAAGAACGTACTAGCTGCATGCTACTGCGAAGCTGGAACCACAACAACAGGAAACCGGAACACCAAGGTACCACCTTGTGGCGCAGGAACGTCTCCACAAATAAGATCCGGGGATCTTGCCCCCCCCAGCAGATTCAGCATATTTTCCATGAGCTGGGACGGCTTGCTGTCCCTAGGCCCTGAATCTCGAAAATCTGGCGAGCCCTCTCCTTAGCAGATAAGCTAAATGTCTTAAGGAGAAGGGCTTTTATCCCCTCGTATTTGCCCTGCCGCGGGGGATCCGCGATAAATCCGATCAACTTCGACGACGTGGATCTCCCCAGCGCCGCCACCACGTGGAAATACTTCAGGTCCTTGTCGCAGACCTGCCTGCAGGCAAAGTGTGCCTCCACGTGTGCGAACCACGCCGTAGCGGCATGTTCCCAAAACTCCGGCAGTTTAGTTAAAACATTGCGATCTGCCATGTTCACTAAGTCTTCGTGATCTATCTCGAAAACAGAGGTGGGGGACTCGAGTCGCATATTTTTGGACTTGAGACTTGCTTGACTAACATTGATAAAAGACTCGACTTGACTTTGACTTGGTATTCATGACTTGAGACTTGACTTGACTTGAGACAGATGACTCGAAAGGACTTTACTTTTTAAAATATAATATTTGCATTTGTTTTTGTATTGTACGGAGCCCCTAAAGGGCAATGACAAAAAAAAAAGATACTCGTTGGCACGAGAAAGTTACCGGTGCGCCAAGTAGGAAGTGGAGCACACAGGAGAGTCTGCAAACCAGTCTGCCTTGATCTATGAATTCATGTCCGTGACTCTCACAGTATCTGCTGCCCACAGCTGTTTTATAGAAGGAAAACCTCCTTCACTTCATGAAATCGCTGCAGCACCAGGAGGCAGCGGGATGTTTAACTCAGCCTCTGAGAAGTGCAGCACCAGCGCGCAGTGCCTTTTACGCAACGCCTACACTGTGTTTACCTTCATTAGAACAGCTAAAGAGCGACCGCAAGCTGCTACGTGTTACCACACACACCTCTACACACACACACACCTCTACACACATCGAACTGCCCGATTAATCCCCCTATTACTCGTTTTATGAAGGAGATGTCCGGTCACCAGGGCACATGATGTGTGTGTGTTTGTGCTCTGCTCAGCTCCGCTCTGTGTGTGTGTGTTCGGTGTGTTTGTGTCTGTCCGACAACGGCATTTGTTTTCAAATGACCATGAACAGTAATTTACACACATCTGGCTAACTCCATATATATGTGGGTGTTCCCAAATGAAAGAAGTTCGTTTAATCTCGATGTAGTGCTAAATGTTGTTGCACTGTCTACGCACACACACACACACACACACACACACACACACACACACACACACACACACACACACTCCACGCTGGCTTAAATCAAAGAGTTGTGTCCCAGTTTAAACACACTAACCGGTCCGTGGAGCAGTATCTTCCAACCTCACATAAATCCAGCAAAGCTCCACACACAGCAAATCTAACAAAAATATATAGGGGTTTCATTTAACCCCAGTTATACATGTAAGTCTTGGAGAATGTTGATATTAAGCAGTCTAACTGTCATTGACAAGCCATCTTGGTTAAAATTGTATCATATTCTGGCAACTTCTCAACTCCTTTTTATTTGTTGTCCCTCCTCGTACCAATGCTTAGTTAGCTACCATAGCTAACGTTCCAACACTGATGCTTACAGTAACATCAAGAAAACCAATTTTACTGCATTAACTGATTTTCCTTTTTTTTTCACTTTAGGAGAAGCCAAAAACTCAACCTTGAGATAAAACTTAATCTCATCTGGAAGTGTAGAAGAAGCACACCACAAATGTTGCGTGTCATGTTGCAAATCTTAAGCTTTAAGCGTGTTGTTTAACACCCTGTTTTCTTTTCCAAATCGTCCAAACAGACAAACATTCTTAGTTATAAACACGGGGGAAATGTATTGAATTCAAACACGGGTTATGCTGGTTATTGGTTATGTTTGGGATGTTTAAGATCATATAAGGTCAAAATAATGAAGATCCATACATCAAGTCATGCACGTAAGTTAAGTAGTCCCATAAATAAGTCATGGTTGATTTTGGTCACACAATCAGCTGTCTCCTGGATTTTAAATGTCAGTTTTCTTGTTGGACCTTTGAATATTGTTATAAGGAAAAGAGCAATTCAACCCAAACACAGGAGTCTGAAGGTAGAGGGAATCAAAGAAAATGATCTTAAAGGTCCCATGTCATGGCCATTTCTACTGATCATAATTCCATTGTTGAGGTCTACTAAAATAAATGTATATTGTGCAATTTTCCAAACTCACATTGGTTTCTCATACATACAGCATCTCTGTATACACTGTTCGAAATGGGGGGGAGCCAGGGGGAGCTTGGCTCCCCCGAAGAGGGAGGGAGCTCCTCTGAAGGCCGACTTTGAGATAAATAGGGGGAGCCCAAAACAATCGTGCATATTTGTGTCACACAGATTAGAAATGTTGAGTTTCTGTAAATAACAGTTCTTGAAATAAATAATAGTTATTGTTCATTACAGTTTCTGAATATTTGTTTTATATTTGTGAATATTTCTGGGTATTGCCATCTGTACGTGGCGGCGCTGCATGCATTCTTTACGTTGCTATGGTTATGGTGGCGATGCCGGCGCGGTATTTGAAATGTTCATATTGATATTTTTTTAACTCTGGCTTTGTAATAAAAAATATGGCAAAACGAAAACAGCCAAGCGTTGCAGCTTTTGGATTCACAAGCAAAGAAGCGAAGGAGTGTAAAAATGACAACGTGAACGGAACAACTTTTAGTTGGCCGGCTGTAAGCGGCGTTAGGGTCGAGTTTGACAGCTCCACACCGAGGGAGAGGCCTGCCGATGCGGTAATTCGAACACTGTCTGTATAGTATGTGTATTCACTCTGTCCTAAACGGCTTGTTGGAGCTCCTGCCCCCCCTCCCTGTGAGCCCAGTGGCCGTCTGCGAGACAGCGAGACACAGTGAAACCAGCCCGAACTGGTTGGGAGTTTTTGTGTGTGACCAGGCTGAGTTCCTCGGTGTCTCGCTGTCTCGCCGACCCCACACCAGTGAGCCAGCTCACACTGTCCGCTCCTCGCAGCAGCGAGCCTCGCAACGTCCCGCCGAGTGTGTGTGTGTGAGGAAGTCCGCGGATTGGTCCAAACGTAACGGCTCCGCGGACGTAACGTAACGGCACGTCACTATACCCGAAATACGTCACTATACCCAAGGAGTAAACAATGCAAAAAGAGAAATCTCCAACGAGGCGTTCTGGGGCAGCATAGACTGGTCTTCTCTGTGTTAGAGTTTTACTCGCTACAGGGTGTACTTTGAGGGTTTGTGACTCTGCAGACCGTTTACATGCATAAAAAGCTACATAACACACAAGGGGACGGGTAATAACCAGAAAAGCATATGATGGGACCTTTAAGTCAGAACTTTGCAGAAGCAGGAAAGGACCTATTCTGCTCATTTTCAGGTTCATATTAGTATGTAGTGTCTCTACTGGGACATGTTTCCATGCTTTAATGTTCAAAAAGCTCTTTATTGTTCTCATACTGCCTGTGCTGCAGCACCTCTTTTCACCCTCTGTCTGAAACCAGAGCCCAGTCTGCTCTGATTGATTAGCTGGTCCGCTCTGTTGCGGTTATTAAATACAAAAGCTAAGCTCAGGTGAGAAGAGGATTAGGAAGAACTCTGGAAGCAGGAAAAGACTAACGAGGCTGATGTAGAGCAGGTGTGCAGGGTAAATGTCTTGTAAATGTCTATACTGTAACTATGTAAATGTATCCTGTAAATATAATGTATGATGTCCTTTATTGTTTTATGTTTCATGTGGAACCTATATGCTGCAGGTCTCCCTTGAAAAAGAGATCTATGATCTCAATGGGACCAATCTGGTTAAATAAAGGTTTGAAATGAAATGAAATGAAAGGCTCAGGAAGGCAACAGGAGAATCAGCAAAAAAGTCTACAAACCATTCTAGTCTTGACTGAATGTCTATGGGACACATAATATATCAGAAATAACAATGACAACAGCAACATGACTTAATAATTGACAACACTTTTATTGTCTTCTCCCTTCTCTGGGGTCTCAAGATGGCCCCAAAACAGAACCAAGAGAAACCAACAGTGTATACAAATAAATTAAGAATACAAACAGGAACAGAAAACGACATTCACCCTATGTTAGGGGGTTAAACAATACTGGAGCTAACATGGACTTATTTACTCTTTCTGTGCTCTCCAAGTCCACATGGCAATGACAGTGTGATGTGCGCTCATAATAAGTTACTATTAAATAGTAGAATTCAGAAGTACAGTAGGGCAATACATTAGAACAACAGTTTAAAACAAAGAGCTGTTACAACAGCAAGGGAATCATGGAAAGGAAACATTTCCCTTGGCACATTCTCTCATACTGTTAGCATAGTGAGGAATGTTTCTGACTACAATTTCTTTCTACACTACAATTTTCTATCATTTATCTTATCATCCCCAGAACAAATTTAAAAGTCTTTAAAATAATTGTCCTGGGGAAAATGTTGGAGGATTATAGTTAACGAAAACATTGAAAACAGTCAAAAAGCTTTAATATTAAAATAAATGATCTGAGGACAAGTGTTCCCCTTTCATGTAGTTGTAAGACTCCACCGACTTCAATGATAAGGATACTATATTGTTATATGTCTTCCTGGAACTCAGAACGTTGTTCTAGAGTCACTAGAAACTATTACCATTTCTGATATGTAGTTCTTGAATCAATAAACGTTTGCTTTAGAATATCTGGTAAGTCTTATAGATTCACTAGAAGTCTTTATTCAAATGTCTTATATTTTGTTCTAGAATAACTGCTTCACTCTCTGCTCCAGGAGCTCCAGCTGCCGGGCCACCTCGTTGGGCAGGTCGTCGTTCACCTGCGTGGTCAAGTACTTCCTAACATCGGCCACCTCCCTCTGCCAGAACTCCTTATCCAGGGAGAACAGCTGGCTGAGGTCCACCTCCTCCTCCAGGCCCTGGAGGTTCAGGTCGTTGCAGCATGGCAGGTAGCCCACCACGGAGGTCATGGCGCCGGCCTCTCCATTCAAACGCCTGAACATCCAGTCCAGAACGCGGATGTTGTCTCCGAAACCGGGCCAGAGGAATCCAGCGGTGGGACTCTTACGGAACCAGTTGACGTGAAAGATCTTGGGGAGCTTGGCACCGGGGCGGTCGGCCATGCTCAGCCAGTGAGAGAGGTACTGGCCGAAGTTGTAGCCGAAGAAGGGGCGCATGGCGAAGGGGTCGTGCATGATCATCTTGCCTGCAGAAAGGAAGGGGGACAAGGAGCAGAGATTGGTACATGTCTTAAATATGTATTACCAGAGATGGCAAAAGTACACACATCCTTTACTCAAGTAGAAGTACAGATACTCGTGTTTAAAAATACTCTGGTAAAAGTAGAAGTACTGACTAAACTTCTTTACTCAAGTAAAAGTAAAGAAGTATGGGCTTTGAAATGTACTTCAGTAAAAAGTACCCATAACTAGCAGATGTTTTAAAGAGTACCTGACCTCCCTTTATATTAATAGAACAATAATGTCATTGTTAGCTAATGAATGTTTCCATGCTGAACAACGGCAACATGACAACGTTTTCATTGATCCCTCTTCTTTAGAGAAGACCAGGAAATGATGGATACACGGATCGTGTTCAAATCAATAGGCACGCAATGACTCTAAAGAATAATGATCACGCCACCAAACACACATTCAAACTAAAGGAACCAGCCTGTTTGGAAAATGTAAGAAGTAGAAAGTACAGGTATTTGTGTTCAAAATGTAAGAAGTAGAAACTACAGGTATTTGTGTTCAAAATGTAAGAAGTAGAAAGTACAGGTATTTGTGTTCAAAATGTAAGAAGTAGAAAGTACAGGTATTTGGGTTCAAAATGTAAGAAGTAGAAAATACAGGTATTTGGGTTCAACATGTAAGAAGTAGAAAGTACAGGTATTTGTGTTCAAAATCTAATCAATGTCCAATCAAGCAGCCTTTAATGTCCTCATGGTGAGTAAACTCCCTAAAATGCATTGAATTAAGGTGAGATAAATAAAAAAAGCTCTCTTGTCATGAGAATGATTAGATACTGACCTTTGTGCTCGGCTGCAGCGGTGGCCTCTGACCTCATGGCTGCTCCAACAAACACACCGTGTTGCCAGCTGAAAGCCTCGTATACCAGAGGGACACCTGAGCGGAAGAATAGTCATTTATTAGATTCATATTTTGTCATCATTTTCTCACATGTCATTATATCTTCTTTCAGGCCTTTCCTTTTGTTAATTCATTGATCCCACTGCATACTGTTTCTATCTTTGCTCACCTTCTGGCCTTCGTCCTCCGAAAATGATGGCCTCAATGGGGACTCCCTCCGGGGATTCCCACATTGGGTCGATAATGGGACACTGCCCGGCTGGAGTGCAGAAACGAGAGTTGGGATGAGCGCAAGGTTCGCCTAGAAAGAGAAAGAGAGACATGAGGGTAAACTTTATTTCCCAACATTCTTATCTCCTTACCCCTAATGCGTGTGATGTTCTCTAGCTTGTCTTGTTGCTCTTTGAAACACCAGTTTGATAACTACTCCTGTATCTCTTCAGTGATTTCTTTGAAAAACACAAAAGCTATCTCTGACCTTTGGTCGACAGGATGGCACTTCTACAGATTGGATCATCTAAACAATTGGCCTTTCTAACTTCCTGGTGTGTCAGCCTATGTTGACTTTCCTTATCCCACCTACAGTCTTTGCAATGCCCTCTGTTTTCTGCAAGCACAGTAGAAATAATAATGAAGTTAAAAACTCTTACCATCCTCTGAGCTCCAGGGCTTGTTCTTCCAGGAAGTGATGGTGACTCCTTCAGGAAGTGCCTGGTCCATTCCCTCCCAGTACACGCCGCCATCGCTGGTTTCCGCAACATTGGTGAACACTGTGTTCTTAATGATGGTCTCCATGGCGTTGGGGTTGGTTCTAACTGAGGTGCCGGGGGCAACTCCGAAAAAGCCATTCTCAGGGTTGATGGCACGTAGGTTTCCTACAGGGAACAATGGAAATAATGAGTGTTAGAATTGATAGTTTGTATTATTATTATATTTGCCAAGGAGGTTATCTTTCTGGTTCAATTAGTTAGTTTGTTTGTATCTCAGGCAGGATTAGGAGAAAACTACTACCCCAACATTGGTCCCAACGAATGGTACAACATTGTCCAACAAAGAACCCATTACATTGCGAAGTGGATCCAAATGACAGGATGTGTACATACATCATGGATTCACTTATATAATCGGCCTTAGAGGAGGTCCGCGCTCCACGAATACCCTTTCAGTTTTAATTGTAATCCTATCATCCCACATGGGATTAAATGAGCTTCCCAAAGTCTTGAGTCCCTCACCTTGGTCGTCAAACTTCATCCAGGCGATGTCGTCTCCCACACACTCCACCTTCCAGCCGGGCAGCGTGGGGCAGAGCATGGCCAGGTTGGTCTTCCCACAGGCGCTGGGGAAGGCTGCTGCCATGTACTTTTTCTGCCCTGCAGGGTTGGTGACACCCAGGATCTGAGGAGGAGAAACATTCGGTTTAACAAATTGTTGTGGGAAGTACTTGTAATGATATATTGTGAGGTTTTTTTCAGATCTTACCAGCATGTGCTCGGCCAGCCAGCCTTCTTCCTTGGCGATGCATGATGCGATGCGCAGAGCGAAGCATTTCTTCCCCAGAAGGGAGTTTCCTCCGTATCCGCTGCCGAACGAGACGATCTGCCTGCGGTCCGGGACGTGAGCGATCAGCGTCTGCTCCGGGTTACAGGGCCAGCTGTTCACCAAGGGCTCTGCAAGACAAAGGCTTTACTTTAATCAGTGGATAGCATCAGTGGAGGAGGAATGTTTTACTTCATTTAGAGTCCTGGTAGAACTTCAACGATAAGACAAATTTGTCTATTCAATCGGTTCATCGTTAATGTCCATTTTCATGCAAAAATGGCAAAATATGTTGTAACGTCATGCTTTTACCGTTATTACATATATTATAAGTAGTACCAGTGGTACTAGTGTATATCATTTATCAAAATAACCCAAAAAGTACTAGTTATTTTTCCGAGCCTTAGTGCGGATGCATGCATGTAGTTAGCTGGATGTTGTTTTGATGTTGTGGACGTACTCTTCAGCGGCAGAGGACAGCCGACGGAGTGCAGACAGCGGACGAACTCTCCCGTCCCCAGAGCGGACAGCACAGACTTCCCCATGCGGGTCATCACTCTCATACTGGCGACCACGTAGGGGGAGTCGGTCAGCTCCACCCCGATCTTAGAGAGGTGGGACCCCACTGGACCCATGCTGAACGGGATCACATACATGGTACGACCTGAGGAGAGAGAACATTTAAATGATACCTTAGTTTCAACGAGGCTGTGTGCTTCACTACAGATGAAATGTAAAATATTGACTTTCAGGAACCAAATGAACACATTTTGCAGTGAAATACTCTTATACAACCATCCATTTCCAAATCTACACACCGATTCAAGTATTAAGGAAACATGGTTCTGCTTTGTTCTACCTTGGGAAGGGGTATCTTAACCTTTTTGGAGAGTTCTGTGCCTCTATTCACTTGTTCATCCTGTCTGGTTAAAGGAGATGTGTCATTTTGTTCTCCGTGTTACCTTTCATGCAGCCAGGGAACCTTTGGGCCACGGCCTTGTCGAAATCTTCAGGGGACATCCAGCGTCCCAGCTGGCTGACCTCTCCGTCCAGAGGGGTGGGCACTGTGTCCCTCTGCTCCCGGGTCACAATCACCGTCTTACTCTCCACACGAGCCACGTCCCTCGGGTCGGTCCTGGCCAACCAGCTGCAGGAAGAGGAAGAGGAAGAGAGAGGGTGAGACTTTTTGTCTTTTAACTTTCTTTCATACGTTCGCAAGATTGATACATTGAATTTTCTCCCTTTGTTTGCAACAAGAAGTTGTAGCTAAGGAGGTGGAGTTGTCGTCCACCAGTGGCTCGGAAGTTGGAGCCCCAGCCCCAACAGTCTACATGTGGAAGTGTCTTGGCTGAATGTGTGTGAACGCTAACTTGAAACTTCAAAAGCACTTTGTGTAGTCGCAAAGACTTGAAAAGCTTTATGTCTATTTACCTTTGACTTTTTATGCTGCTACTTATTTATTTTAACAGTTAAAAAAATGGTGTAGTTATTTGATGTTAATTACCGTGTGCTTGCCTCTTTATTCAATATTTTAGTTTGCCTTTCATCTGCCTAAACCATGAGTTTTTTATTCCTTCCTCGAAAGGATTACTATTTCAGATTTATCAGATTTGGGATTTTTTGTGTTTTGCATTAGGATGAAGCAGAATTGCTAGTCACAGTAATCTGCCTCCTGTTCACCTGAATGTTTGTGTGACAGCGGCTGCTTGTCCTGAAGGAGCTGGACTTTCTGGTTCTTCAGAATGCCGACCTTTCACACGCGTGTTGTTTATTTCAACAGCTGATGACGAGCAAGAGCTTACTCTTGCACACTGTCTCTAGGGACAACAAGACCGTGCTCTCTGCCAACTGCTTTGGGTTTACTCTGTCTTTGTTACAAAAGCCACCACAGCTGATAGTAAAAAATCCATATTTTGTATTAATTATCAGAATCTTTAAAATAACCAAAGCTTTAAGATAATTGTAGTGAAGTAAAAAATACATTATTTTTCCTCTGACATGTGGAGGAGTTAAAGTACACATCAGCATAAAGATATTTAGGTAAGTACCTCAAAGTTGTACCTAAATAATATTCTTAGTTACTTTCAACCACTACTGAACATCCCATAATTACACATACTAGCTGTTGTTCTTATTTTTCTGTAGATATTTGTTTGAAATATTATTTATATTTTTTAATGAGTATTCATGATTGATCTGGATAAAAAAACGTAAGATATGAGTTACATTGTTGTAGTGGCAGCTTCGTTTAACTTATTTATCATGTGTAAGTATTATTTCCATTGTAAATACTTGTTGTTTTGTGAAATCATTTTGAAAAATAAATCCCACAGAAAACTGACATTTTAGACAACTGAAAGGGTTCAAGTGTGCTGATGTTTAGAATATTTGCTTTGTGGCCCCTGTCTCCAGAATCCTCTGAATTGAATCCCACCCACCAGTTCTCATATTTGCGGAGCTTCTTGATCAGGCCCTGCTCCTCCAGCTGGGTCAGGACGGCCCGGTTCTCCTCCTCGGAGCCGTCACAGATGTGTAGGGCGTCAGGCTGGCACAGAGTCACGTTCAGATCCACAAACTCCTTCAGGGCCGGGCTGAGGGCGCTCAGGTCGCCCTGCAGGACCCTCGGGCTGCTCTGGTTCTGAGAGGGGAGCTGAGGAGGCATGCTGCTGGGGGCTGGAAGGCTGGAGGGTAGAGAGAAGAGACAGGAGGAAGAGTGGAGTCTGGGGAGAAGATTCAGGGGGGAGAGGGTAAAGCAGAGGAAGAGTAGACATAGAAAGGGTCAGAGAAAAGTTAGCAAGATGGGACAAGGAGAAGGAAAGAGAGGAGAGGTGATGGAGGATGGAATAATACATATGGATATAGAGAAATAAAAGGAACAGAGAGAAGATTTAAAAGAGAGAAAGAGGAATAAAGTTTAGCACATGAATACAATTAAAAAGTGCTTTTTGAGTATTATACACTTTGTATACATAGTGCACTTTACTACAGTCCTGTTAACAATAACGTGATATATTATTTTTGTATAATGATCATTGTTGGAATAAAATAAATACAAAAATAAATAAATTATACATTTGATCTATAGAGCAAACTTCAATGTACTCAGCATTTGTATTTACAGGTCAACAATATCATTAAAAAGCAAATAAAAATAAAAAGAAGCCTGAGATCTGAGCGTAACATTGGAAATGACTGCTTCACTAAAAGTTGAATTAAATGTTAAATAAATAAAAAACTGCTGCAGACTTACTGTCCGACATAATCCCCCCCTCCTCATCAGATACCCTCCTCACATTACACAGTGGAAACAGAAGCGTCAGGTTACCTTCAGGAGTGTGTGCAGCAGAGACTCTTCAGCGGAGCCTCATCAGATGACGTTTTTTCCAAAGAGCTGAGGACTGTTTCTCCTGAGTGAGTTGTTTCTACTGAGAGAGTTTCTCTCTTTATACCCGGGATGTCCCACAAGAGGGGGGGGGAGGGGGGAGGGGGCTTGTCCTCTGAGCTATTTGCATGAACCTGTTGTTCCATGCTCATCTAAAAAAACACAGTGTCACAATGAATCATTTATCAGCGTGACGTAACGTCTTCCTCACAGAACCGGTTCCCTCTGCCAGTCAGTCAGCCCATCAGAACACGTCACTGTCCCTGGGGAATGGAGTTTTAGGAGAGTTGCTCTTTAGAAACTAAAACTAAAATTAGGATAATAAAAAATATTTATATAAGAAGTTAAAGTAAGATGTGCAATTAAAACATAATATAAAATAAAATTGATTAGAGATAATTATATTAACATAAAAATGTAAGTGACATTTTCAATCTAATATTTGAATAATTAAATTAGAATAAAAATATTGTTATAAATATAAGTAAAATATTTATTAAATAAAATAGAGGACACCTTAATATAAATAAAAAAGATTAATTTGCAGAACTGTATCCTGTTCTGGAACTGTATTACTATTTTCTTACTTATAATATCCCCAGCGTAGCATCAAGACACTTTTTTATATCAGAGTATTTCTATGTTGTGGTATTTGTACTTTGCTTTACATCTGAGTACTTGTTCAAGACAGACAGATTTTACCTCAGCACTAATGCCACTACGTTCCTCCATAAAACACTTTTAGTCATGAAAGGAAAAGCCAGTGATAACGTGTGTGTGTGTGTGTGTGTGTGTGTGTGTGTGTGTGTGTGTGTGTGTGTGTGTGTGTGTGTGTGCGTGTGTGTGTGTGTGTGTGTGTGTGTGTGTGTGTGTGTGTGTGTGTGTGTGTGTGTGTGTGTTTCTCACCAAAATCCTCATGCTTCCTTTTTGATGTGAAAGCAACCCGATTGAAGTTAGAACGCCAGTAATGAATTGAATTTAAACACTGAATTTGTGATGAGCCCAGGTAGAGCAAACACTCCTTATTGTGTTGTTAATGCTGCAAACTAGATCATTGCTTAAAATGTACAGTAATAATCCTATTGAGTATTAGTACACAACTGATATTTGGTAATATACCCATATACAGCTCTGGGGAAAAAATGAAGAGACCACTGCAGTATTATCAGTTTCTCTGGCTTTACTATTTATAGGTTTGTGTTTGAGTCAAATAAAAAAATATATATGTTATTCTATAAACTACTGACAACATTTGTCTTTGTTTGAATTCATCAGACACTGGAATGGAATGGCTGCCATACACCTAGAGATTGAGATTTAAGAACAATTTGGAGTGGTCTCTATTTTCTTTTAAATGTATCTTATCTTTTTTGTTTTTGTTTAAATGATAATGAAACCCAACTTCCCTCGTGGATAAATGAAGTATTCTGAATCTGATTCTGAGTATTGCACAGTTGATGAATTCATGTAATATAATCTCTGACCATCAATTGTGAAATATGAATTAATAGTTATATTAATTCTCTCTCTCTCTCTCTCTCTCTCTCTCTCTCTCTCTCTCTCTCTCTCTCTCTCTCTCTATGAACTTTGACCCTCAGCACTCTCTGATGTAAGGTCAGGGTTGGTGTGTGACGTGGGCAGCGCCTTGCTCTGATTGGCTGATAGACGGGGGCTCGCCTTATGACTAAGGTCATGCAGGGGAACGTGTGTGTGTGTGTGTGTGTGTGTGTGTGTGTGTGTGTGTGTGTGTGGTGTGTGTGGTGTGTGTGTGTGTGTGCTTGTGTGTGTGTGTGTGTGTGTGTGTGTGTGTGTGTGGTGTGTGTGCGTGTGTGTGTGTGTGTGTGTGTGTGTGTGTGTGTGTGTGTGTGTGTGTGTGTGTGTGTGTGTGTGTGTGTGTGTGTGTGTGTGCGTGCGTGCGTGTGTGTGCACTAAAATGTACAGTATTATTGAATTCAGTTTTAAAAGTAGTAGGACTAATGCGAACTGTAGTTTAAAAATAATGTATGTTTTCTGAGGCTGATATGCTTAATATCCAGAGAAATAATGTGTGTTCTAATGAAAACTTCAATTAAGATGTTTTTTTCTGTCTGAAAGGAAAGAAGTCAAAATATCTTGTCAAAACCAAAATGAGGAAATATGAATCATAATGATGGCCTTGAAAGATGATGCATTTCACCTGAATAGAAGACGTTTTTGTTTTCCCTTTTTTATATGCTTTGAAACACTGATCAGGCGATGTTTAAGTTCCTCGTTGCGCCTGAACTCGACCTCCGATACAGCAGCCAATCAGGATCTGGATCCAGACTCAACGCTGCTCAACACAAAGCAGCCTGCATGGTTCTGTTGTGGCACCCAGTTACATAACGCCCTGCTCAAGTGTTTATGAACAATATAGTGTAAAGACAATGCCCAACAGTCAGCAGTCATAAAACAGCTCGAGGGTCTTTAACCCGCCGCTAAACTGTAAACACTCTCCTGTTGTTCTAGCGTTTGTCTTTACATTCAAGAGAGTCTTGTAGAGGTCAGGTTAGCACTTTAGAATACAATAAAAAAGGTATATATTTATAGTGAAATTGTTTTTTATATCCAAGGAGAATATACATGATTTGAAGTTCACATCCAAAAGCTGGACTAAGGAAGCAGACCACAAAGGGGAGAAAAAGAAGAGAAACCGCTGTCCTCACAGACACTCCTATAAAAAATCTACTCAAGGCTGAGAAAAGAGAGTCTAACGCAAACAAGTCTAAAGCGAAAGAAAAATGAATTTCTGCAAAAAATCCAAACCCAACAAGAAGCAGAAGATTCAGGACTCATCTGATGAAGAAGCTCAATACTGCATTGTGTGCCTGGAGAGCTACTCCAGGTCCAAGGAGATCTGGCTGCAGTGTTGCTCCTGTAAAGCCTGGGCACACAAGGACTGCACAGATGGAAGTGCCTTTTACACCTGCCACAACTGTGAATCAGATTAATAGCCTACCATCTGGTGTTCTGTTTTTAGTTTTGTTCATTGTTTGTTGGAGGATGTGTGAAACCCCATTAAAATATTGTTGCCTTGACAGCTTTCCCTCTTTTTTGTCATTTAGTGTGAACAAAGGTAACCGTTATTAACATGTTACAACCTGGCATGTGTTACAACCATCCCTGTACACTGGGATGGTTTTAACAGTTGAGTGACTGTACTTAAATACATTTTCCAACCTGTACTTATTTCATAAAAACACTTAAATACATTGTTTCAGTAGTTGACATATTGAGAATGTATAATATAGCAAAATGGCTATCCAAGTGTAAATGTTTTTTTACTTATTGGGGAAAACCCAAAAAGTGTTACTGTCCCTGGTCTCCCTACAGACAGGCAGTGAAGCCTCTCAGTACAACACAGTGAGTCCATAAAATAATACAAACATTTTCCTCTGAGGTGGTTCCAGGGCCAGTTCTGCACTGGTGTTCGATTGCGAACCTTAATTTGCAAATTGTGAACCGGTTTTTCATCAGGCACCAAGCCGTCGGGGAGATTTACGTGAGCAACAACAGTTCACGGCGAGAGAAGGAAGTTGTTGCAGTAAATAGGTTAGACCCCATTTACACGGGAACGTTTGCGTTTACGCACCGAATTTGTTTTCAAAAAAGTCTTCCGTTCACAAGTTTATATATACAGGCCGTTTCTCAATGTCGAGTACACATGCTGCAGAGCCACTATTTCAAGTATACTACGTCATAGAGTGGCGCAGAATGCTGGGCATTTAACATGCATTTAGACCCCCTTTATACGAGGACGATACGGGTTGTATCCGCATAGTTTCTCTTGCGTATAGCCCTTTCGTTTACACGAGGCCGTAACAAAGCGATAGAAACAGACCCCGTAAACGATAACAGGTCCCAAGGTGGATAGATCTGCAAACGGAACGCTCTGGGGGGGGAAACGGCTCCGTGTGTAAGCCTCTATACGATCATTTTCTGATAACGATGAAATCGCCCGCCTCCCTCTCCCCACCCTCCCTCTCCCCACCTCTCCCTCTCCCCCCGCCTCCCTCTCCCCACCTCTCCCTCTCCCCCCGCCTCCCTCTCCCCACCTCTCCCTCTCCCCCTGCCTCCCCCTCCCCACCATCTCCTCTCCCTCTCCCCCCGCCTCCCTCTCCCCACCTCTCCCCCTCCCCACCTCTCCCTCTCCCCCCGCCTCCCTCTCCCCACCTCTCCCTCTCCCCACCTATTATTGAAATATAAAAAATTGAAATCTCTGAGAAAAAGGTAATGCAATGTTTGCGATACTTTCAGGTTTAGTGAACTCTCCTTGTGAAATGTTTCCTGGATTGACGTGAGCAGCAGGTAGAACAGAGTGAAGTCTGACATTTGGCGTCAGGTCAAAGCGTGATTCACAGCCTGAAGTAAACAGCCGCCACAGAGAGGTTAAAGTACCAAGTGCACTGACGTAAAACCTGATAACAATACAGAGGCTTTGTCGTAACAGTAATAATGACAAGCTGGACTTTAGCATGGACATCAAAAGTAGAAAATCACGCAGATATCGAAGATTTTTTTTATTAAGAATTCATCTTCAAGAGCGCTGAACATGATCTCTACATTTTTGGAAAAAACACTATATATTTTTTGTATTTTATGTGACAGTGATCAGGCCCCCATGAATTACAGAAGAAGAAGTTACTATTATTTTGTATTAATATAATAAATATTACTTAAAATATTGTTATTTGTATGACTTTATACGAAGTTCTTGTGTCAGGTGTTTTCTTGATATATATCATTTAATTTTACAGGACTACAATATTTTTGGGCATTTTTTGTATGCGAAAAGGTAGTTCAAATAAGTTTAGTAAAAATTGAATATAAGGAAAGTATAATAATGCAAAATAATACAAACAACGTCAACTCTCTTTATCATGTCATTTTTGCCAATGTACACAAATGTGTACACACAATATACTTATGACTATATAAATCTTAATGTTATATGAATACTAATATTACAGTTATTCTGTACTGTAGTATTTTGATGCTGGGGCAATATATTTCTTTAGATGTATGAATATCAATTAATGAGGATCCTGAGAACCTAGAGTTTCTCTCATGTGGTTCTGCTGTGGTCCTGGTGGATGATATTAAATAAACATAGAAAGCACAACAGTGACACTTAGTGGACTGAAACAGGAGAGGCACCTTTAAAAGCTATATCAGAACCAGGAATCCAGTATTTGTCCCAAAGCGGGAAAATAAACATATTAGTTCAAAGTAAAAAATAACAATGAGTAGACTAACATATTACATAAAAAGGCTATCATATGTTAATACAACCAAATCAGTACACATCCATGTAGAAAAAAATTGTATCAGTATTCCAGGAAAGCAAGTGAATGGTTGAACCATCAGCCAGTTGATTGAAGTCATTGGTAAATGGACTGCATTCATGAAGGAACTCAGGGAATAATCAAAAAGAACCTTAAAGGACAGATTTTGTTATTATTGACTTCTTCATTGACTTGACAGTATACTGCCCCTGTTCGTAGAATTATTTCCATGACTCAAATCTTTTTATTTGGCAAACATACATACTGTATGCATGAGCACATTCTGTCTGCTATTATAATGCAATATACATTGTTTTCCTGAACATAATATGTCTATACAATGAATGCATTAACCCTCCTGTTGTCTTCGGGTCAAATCTGACCGATTTACTTTCATCAATCATAACTTTTTAGTTTTACATTCGATTGCATTAAGACGTTATGATATCCTTCACAGTAGACATTTGAACATATAAAATAGCTGATCACCACTTTCATTGAATTTTGGATGATTTAGTCAACTTTGTGACACCCATGGTGTTCCCGCCATAAAGAAAAGGAATTAGTAACCATCCGGATCAGATAAAACACACACACACACACACACACACACACACACACACACACACACACACACACACACACACACACACACACACACACAAAAAGCGTCTTGTCATCCAGGATCTTGCATAATATTCCGGCCAAACATCTCTCACCAAAAATCTTCTAAATGTCACCCACCAAGAGGACATACCCTCCATTACAAAGTGCCCCATGATGGATGTGGCTGAGGTGGAATTGTTCTCAGGAAGGTTCATGTATAAAGAGAACTGAGCAGTGTCAGAAGCAGGACTCTGTTCTTTCCTATATTCCACAATGTTTTTTGACAGAAATACGACTGCACTGACTTTAGTAATGGCATTCATTCTCGCTATATTAGAAACCTGTCTGTGATGCAGCGCCCTGTTGTACTGCGTTAATGTATCATATTAATGGTTTCTATAGCCGTGACGTCATAATAATGCTATTAGGAGGTGGATTCATTCAGGTAGACACTACTGAAGGCCTAGGTGTGAAATGCACGGCCTGTTACTGTTTTCAACATAACTCATTTGTAGATATTTTGAGACAAAAAAACAATAATTAGGATGCAAATAAAGAAACACATTTTTGTATGAGATTCATTAAAGGTCATTTTTTTTATTGGTAATATAATTTTGATCAAAAGTCAACAAAAGCCAAACATTTTATTATTATCTCCCACCGGCCAAGCAAATACATTCAATAGTAAAAACCCTAAACATATTAAATTCATAACCATATAACAAGGAAAAGCATCACATTCTCTATCTTCTATCAAAATGATCGTAACTAATTGATCGAATTCTGTCGCATGAGGACTTTGAGGAAAGAAATACACTTTTCTCTGATAAAAGCCGACACAGCAATTCAGCTTTAGAGCTCATCCCTCTTCTCCTCCTCCTTGTGGAAAACTTGTCCATCCGGCTGGTTCCTCCAGGCCAGTTTGACGTTGTCGTCCAATCCCTGGGCCCGTAGGTTCTTTTTCGCCTGAGACACAAAAACTCATTATCATTATCGTTCCAATAAAAACGGATGATTTATCTATAGTTCACTCATCTGAAATGGTAGTTGTTCCCCTTATTTCTTCCAGTGTAAAGGCTTACCTCAGGTTATGAAATAGTATTTGTACATTTTCCTAATGCATTTGGTGGCAAGTAAGTTTCTGCTATTTACTTCTGCACATATTTACACGTCTTCTTACAAAATGCTTGGGTCCTGTTATTTGTGGCCAAAGTATTGAATGTATGATAGATATAGAATTTCATTCATGTTCATCTTGGTCCATTTCATTCGTATTGAAATTCTTTTACTACATTTTCTTTCGTTGAATTAATTATTCTTTAATATATATGTATTTGTTTCCTACCTATTTCGTCTCTTGTTCTCATGTCATGTGAATTTCCTTTCTGGTGATTGATGTTTTTGCATAAAAGTAGAAAACATGATTTACCTCCACCAACATCGCATCCAGAAAAGCGGGGTCGTTCAGATCCACACCGTTTGGTTTATCCACCTTCACCTTTATCATTTTCATTGAAACAGGCACAGCTAAAAACACAAACAAACTTCATCAGTCACAACGTTTATGGTGTCTTCTTTTTCAACAGACTCAATATCATCACTTGCTTTGACGTAGCTGTGAATTTTACTCACGTCCGTAGCAAATGAATGGTTTCTTCACTCCACAGTCCAAGTCCTCCCATTTTCCAGAGTTGTTGAAAGCTGCAGCCGTACAAACCTTAAAAGCTCTGTAGTTAGGTTTATTTTCTGCCCAGTACTTGAAAGAGGAGTTGCTTCCATCGGACCACTTCCAGGAGTCTCTGTAAAGGCCGATCCAATATATGCCTGCAGGTAACAGCTCAACAATCTGCTGGTTCTCCGTCTCGTTTCTCACACTGGCCAGGTCTGTGTGGTGTTCTCTGCAGTAGCTCTGGGCCTCAGTCCAGTTCATTTTGCTGTCAATGAGGACAAATGTTGCATTCGGCCCTGAAAATGGACCACAGAGAAGTACTAAGTAGAGGCACCACGACATACAGGCATCTTGGATGAAAGGTGCTATATAAATAAAGTTTATTCCTATTATCATTATTATTATTATTTTTATTATTATTATTATATATAATTTAAATCCCCCGGGATATAAGGAATGACATCAATTAATGAATACATGTATAAATAAATATGTAAATAATATAATCTTAAAACATCTCTCTACAGTCTCCCTCTCTGAATAAAAATATCCGTTATTTTTACACACAAAAAGACATAACATTTTTCTTTTTGTTGTTAGGAAAGACATTCTGGAGCAGTCTTTGACTCAGAATTAAAAAAATGTAAATGTATAGTATTCATCTTAAGTTAATATTCTTACCTGTGCTATTAAAGCAGACTGGCCTAAAAATGCGGATACAATTATAATCATGCCATAGTCCATCAGGAGAACCGATACATGTGCAGGGTTCAGAATTATATTTGCCTGGCTGTCCAATGCCCCATTGTCTGAACTCGATCTCCCTCGGTCCGTAGAAGCTTGGGTCTGACATCGACCACTTCCAGGTGTACCGGTCATCGTGCAGCCCTATCCAGGCTGACTGAAAGCAACATTAATTGTGTTAATAAAGAATTAATCCTGATGTATTAAGGTCTTTGTAATACAAAATGTCCTCCTTTTGTTACCCTCACTCCTCAGAGTAAAACTCTGTCTGGTGAAACACAACAGGGGAGGTTTATACTAAAAACACTTCATCTACTCTACTACATATAAGAGGGACATTTTGCACTACAGTTAAGTTATAAGTGTTTTATGTAGGCAAAGCTTTAAAAAGTTTCAACCTATAGCCCATACTACTATAACTACCTAATATTCATAATAGCTATCAATCGAAAGACAGAGAAAAGTGACCTCACTTGGTTGTATGGGCCTGCCATGTTGTTCAGGAGCTTCACAACCTCATCGCTGTCTACAGTGGCCAGGTCTGTGTGTTTCTCTCTGCAGTATCTCTGTGCTTCAGACATGGTCTTTGCTTCATAAACAAAATGGTACTGACGTTCAGCATGTGAGGAGACAGCGCTCAGCCCTGTAGAGACACAGACACTTTGACTAGATTCAATATCAATTACTGAACCAAATTACATTAAAGTTAGACTGAATTAAACAACTTAAGTAATTGTCAGAGGGAAACCACAATACAAAGTACTAAAAATTGCTAATGGAATAAGATGCAGTATTTTAAATAAAAATATATAAAACTCTTGCCTGAAAGAGCGATGATGATCAGAAGAACTTTTTCCATCCTTGTCTCTTCCCTGTTCTTCTCTTTTGGACTGAGACTGTAGATGTGCAGCTGTTGACATTAAATATTAGGTTAAACATTAACTAACATTATGCGTTAGTTAGCTGCACTTTCGACTTAATGCAAAGTGGATATGGAACTGACAGCTTTATTATATCAGGTTTATTTACTTGCATTTGCACATGTATTTACAAGGAAAGACAAATAGAGTAATATGGGCGTAGGACTGGTGACACACAGCAGGAAAACCAAATTCATGCCCATACATGCCCAAATACAAAAAGTCTGAAACAACGCTGATCATTTCATATAATGAGACATTTTTACAGTTTACAAGCTAATACATTTAAAAGATTACAAAACCATTGTAAGAATTGTTACACTAACTTCCAGCTTCATTCTTTGGGTATTCCAGTAAAACATTTGTACATGCTTTAACCCTCCTGTTGTCTTCGGGTCAAATCTGACCGATTTACTACTTTCATCAATCATAACTTTTTTGTTTTACATTCGATGCATTAAGGCTTCATGATATCCTTCACAGTAGACATTTGAACATATCAAATGGCTGATCACCACTTTCATTGAATTTTGGATGATTTAGTCAACTTTGTAACACCCATGGTGTTCCCGTAAAGAAAAGGAATTAGTAACCATCCGGATCAGATCAAACACACACACACACACACACACACACACACACACACACACACACACACACACACACACACACACACACACACACACACACACAAATACTCTAGATGTGTCCCCCCCCTTATGTGCCCAATCCCCCCATGTGAATCACACCTGGCACACACAAACACACACACACACACACACACACACACACACACACACACACACACACACACACACACACACAAACACACACAGAACAATTGTACACATTTCCCGCTCTTATGTGCCCATCCCCCCACATGGATCACACCTGGCACACCAATACATGTTCAGTGTCTATTCTTTGTATATTTACTGTAGTTTTTCATGTATACCAGTAGTCTGATACAATATGTACAGTTTGAAAGGGTGTTAAATGAAATTTGGTGATGATTAATGTTTTTTGTGTTAATATAATAGCAGTTAAAACAGGACCGGTCAAATTTGACCGCGAACACCAAAGTAAGGGGGGGGGGGAGGACGAAGACGAAGACGAAGACAATAGGAGGGTTAACAACATAGGCTATTACACAAAAGACAAAGAAATACATGTTTCCGTGCCTCCGTTCCCTTTTTCTAAATGCATATTATATATCTTCTCTACTTAAGAATGAAAGACTAGAAAGCACACAGAAAGTCCAGCGTCTGTGACAGTTTTTTTCTAAATAAAAAGAGCTGAGTACAGTTAGTTTCGTTCTCTGGTGGTGTTTGGTTTCAGCTTCCTGTGTGCAGTCTGAGGGTTTTTTAGGATCCAAACTTTTTGAGCATGTGATTTATGATGTCCAGAGTTTCTTTTCACTGACTGTCAACAAAGATGCTCTCTTATTGCCCAAACAGAACAAACAAGTGCCTCAGGAGGGGATATTGTTGGACAGACTAAACACATGGACCGTTTTTTTGGTGCATTCATGAAAAATGTTAGGCTACATAATTGTGTTGTTGTTGGTAATGTAGGCATCTGTGTAATAATGTATTACATTCAATTATACCATACATAGGAAAACCAGATAAATACAAGAATAAAACATAAAAACGATATAAGATATATAGGACCCCAGAGATGCTACAGAAATCTTAAGTTATGCTAATAGAGGTAGTGCTAATATAATGTGATTTAGATGTAATTAAGTGAATAAAGATTACTATGGATAACATATTGATTACAAACTGAAAGAAAGAACATCATTCGGATTGTGGAAAAGGCTGACAGTGAGAAACTAAAAGTCCAGTCAAATATGATTGAAAAGTGCAAAACATACTATTTTGGAAAATGTTAATACTAATAGATAGTGATTTACGATCCAGCCAAAAATGATTCAAAAAGTACAAACAGTGCAAGAGTAGTAGCCAGAGTTACTTGCAGTCCAGGAAATGGAGATTAAAAGGAAATAAATACAAGACAAATACTTTTGAAAATATAAAAAAACAATCCAGTTAGAAGATATATAAATATAAAAATACACATCCAGATATCCGGTTCAGTGTTTCACCAGCTGTGGAGGAAATGAAAGCATCATCTGCATGCTGCACAATGGAGGTTAATAACCCCCACTGATCTGTTCTCCGGCTTCACCATGAACCGCCTCACCTTCCTGCTGCTTCTGCGGCTCTCCTCCTGCGCTGTGGTCGGTGAGGGATTCTAACCGTAACCTTTTTGATGCACTCTTTATCTTTAATAAGTCTTACAGAAAGTTGGAGCTTAACTATTCACATTGATAGGCAAGCAATGAATGGTTCATGGAGAGAAAAAGCCTGCCCAGTACAGTGTTCTAAAACCCTTTTTATAAACAATATACATCATTCAAAAACTTCAAAGTATGCTAAAAATATATATCTAAATATATGTTTTTATATTTGTATTTGAATAAAGCATTTACTGCTGGTTTACTCCCTGAAAATAAGTCTTATCTCAACCCACAAGGGTTCATACCTAAGAAAGTACTTTTTCTCAATTACTGTATACTTACGTATATTCCTGAGTTACTTGTATACCTACATTTTATAATACTTCTTCACTACATATTGTATTCTTTATAACACTGCATTTATTTGACGGATATAGTCTAAAATGAGTTATAAGTTAGTTTATAAAATATCTCATTATCTGAAAAACTATATGATGCATTATTATACATTATTAACCATTAAGAAAATGTCTATAAAGTAGTTTAAATTAGCTCCACGTCAACCAGCATCCAATATAATACAATAATATAATATGAATTGTTAAAATTACATTTGCTCTGGTAGAACATAGACATGTTGTTAGTATTAGTGCAGATTTAGGGCGCCTTATTTCTCCTTTCTTTTTTTTAATGAATGCTCCAGTGACCCGAATGAGGAACTATAATCGGGTTTCAGCTCTGTGCTGATGGCAGAAATGATAAAAGTGTTTGTGGCTACAGAGTCACGTTATTGAAAGTTGCTAACACAATGTTTCAGAGAGTTTCTGTGGGTTGGCCTATATATTACCTTAGAATGTTTAAGGACATTTTTATTATGTTTTTATGTCATTCTTAAATCCAAATGTAGCTACACAAGATGAAATGTTTCTGTTACTGTATTCCTCCTGTCTGTAACACATGTCATGACAATTCATTAGAATAGTTTCTGAATCAAAGTGCTGGAGATACTGACAGTGGCAAATCCAGAAAACATGGATGTGTTGGTGATGGGCCTACAGGGCACAGACCAGGGGCCAAAGCGCCAAGGGGGCCCCTGACCTTCACTTACTACATATTAACCAAAGAGACACAAACCAACCAGGAAGAGACAAGAGTGACAACAAAAAAGACACTGAAAGTGCTCATGTTAAACACAGATTATATACTTCAAAGAGACGAAAACATACAACAAAGAGTCACTTAAAGGTGGGGTAGGTAATTTTGGAGAAACCAGCTCGAGTTCGCTAGAATTAGAAAATACACAGCCGGAAAAAATCTGCCACTTCCTTACAGAGCCCCTCCTCCAACACACACGAACGCGCACATGACCAATGAGGGCACGAGATAAGTTTGTGCACAGATGGAAGGCTGACAGGCAGGTAGGCCATCCAGTTATTTTAGCCGGGCTGGCTAAAATGATTGGTCGTGCTTTTTACAGTACTACGGCTTCCACAGATGACATTTTTTTATGGATTTTTGTCAAAGCACTTAAGATATTCATTGCTATCGGGATGTTAAGAGCATTCCATGGAATATAACAAAAAGTGTATCTCGAGCCGGTTTCTCAAACTTACCTACCCCACCTTTAAGGCACAAAATGAAACAAAGTGGATTCAAAGAGACACAAACATACTACAAAAAGTCACAAAATTACCACAAAGACAAATAAAATGACAACAAAAACACTAAAGAAACACTAAATTACATCGTAGGAATACAAACCGACTACAAAATGACATAAACTGACTACAACAAAACACTAAAAGACACAAAATGCCTTCCACGACACACAACTTTATTCATGTAGCCTATACTGTGTAGGGAATGCAGCAAGTAAAGAAAAACTCAAACTTTTTTTTAAAGCAATCTGTTGACTGTCAACATACCATGGACTTCCTGTCTCTGCACACTAAAAGAAAATCATATTTTGTGCTTCTCCTTTTCTGTTCAGATGGTGCAGCTGATGGATACTTCATGTGCGCTGACTTCTGGTGTGCCTTCTACTCCAGAGAGCATGTGGAGTACCTGATCGACTGGTATTTCAACGAAGAGTTCACGATGCAGTACAACAGCACGGTGGGGGGGCCTCACTGCCGCCGGGCTCCTCTCTGCCTCCACGCTGAACAATGACAGGCACGACGTCCTGCAGAAGGTCGTGGAGAGGCAGCTCATATCTGTCAACAACGTCAGTTTAATATACAGCTTAACTGAGGACAACTTTGGTGAGTATTCAAACATACACATCTTTATTTAATCTCATTAAACTCACAAACTCTTTATGAACAAAAGCATAAATGTGGACAACAGGACACTATTTTAGTATTGGAAGCATTCCCGTTTGTAGACAGTGAAGTATTGACCAATCACGTTAAAGGGGACATATTATTCTCATTTTCAGTTTCATACTTGTATTAAGGTTCATACATACTTTAATGATTAAAAATTAATTTTGACGGGGCGATTCTATTTTAACCGCCGCCGAAAGGGGGGGAAAGAGACGAGTGAGCGATACAGGGAGAGAAACACAGAAGAAGAGACGAGAGCGCGGCAGAGAGAAGCGGAGAGGAAAGTGAGTGAAGAGAATAATTAGCGATACAGGGAGAGAAGCGGAGAGGAGAGTGAACAGGCGTTAGCGGCAGACAGGGAGAGACAAATAATTACACATGGCGCTCTCCAAGAAGAGGAAAGTGGACAGTGAGAACAGAGCTTTTAACCCTGAGTGGACTCATTCATGTTCATCCTGCCCACTGGGAGCACAGAGCCAGGGTGTCTCATTTGTTCAGAGACCGTGGCGCTCATTAAAAGTGCCAAAACGCCACTATGAGACAAAACACAAAGTGTTTGACCAAACATTCCCTCTCAAGTCAGAACTGAGGTCACAAAAAATAAATATCGTTCCAGCGCAGGCTAACCGAGGCTAACCAATGAGCACCTACATGTGTGTATGAGAATGGCCCTGACACCATTTCAGCCCAGATTTAAACTCCTGGCAGGACAAGCTCGAGCTCAATTCTCGCACTGAACAAAACAAAGTGAGTGAGGGACTGCAATATAAGAGGGAAAGAAAGAGAAACTTTAAAACTGTTCAATTGTTATGATGTGTAAAGACTGATATTGTTCTATAATCGTCTGAAACTGTTAAGTCATGATGTGAAACGGTTAACAAAGCTATTTCATTTATTTTCTCTATTTTATTTTTAAATGCAGCCCAAGAGGAACATTACACCCACAGTATGTTACTGTATATCTGTAGAGTTCAATGTTAATTGACAATAAATATTGTTGTTTATGAATTGTACTTTCTTTATTTGATTGGCAGTCAGTTGTTGATTACATGCAGACGTTGATACAGCTACAGGCTACTTCAATATATATCACCAGGGCCGTCCCTCCCTACAGGCCGATCATGCAGGCTGCATGGGGCCTCACATTGCGCAGGGGGCCTCGCGCAGGGGGCCTCGCGCAGGGGGCCTCGGCTTATGAGCTCGGCTTGTGCGCAGTTCTCCGCGCACCCCACAGCCTAAAAAACATGGAGCATTTTTTCCCCTTTTATTCATTTTTATGTCAATTTGCACATTTCATGGTGATGCTCAGCCTCTCCCCTTAACTCCTAACAGTCATCATCATCGTGTCAACCACAACACAGAGAAATACTGATAGAAATGTGTGTGTAGTTGTTGATACATTGCTGACAGAGTAGTATTTATATTATTGAATTGATTATGATTATGATTTTGATTATTATTATTAGTAGAAGTAGTTTATTTGCATTCATTATATTTTAACCTTTTTGCGGCTAGTATTTGGCAGGAAATGCAGACGTATTCACCTGTAAACGCATACTGAACGACATACATGCACATTTACCATTTACCTCACTGTATAAAAAAGTAACTGTGTTGTTAATAATAATAAACAGGAATTATATTTGCAAAGTACTTTGTTTCCAAAAAAAGAATGTTCACTCCTGTCGGTGGGGGGGGGGGGGGCCTCATCTCACAATGTCGCTTGGGGCCCCAAGTTGGCCAGGGACGGCCCTGTATATCACACTAATTCATAAAGCAAGTTTGACATTTTGAAGTTCCGGACCTTTGCATGGGGAGATTTTCTCTAACTGGACCTCGTTGAATTTTAGTTGAATACCCCTGCTCTAAAGTCTTGAAATATTTAGTACAGCTTAAACTAACTTTATATTTCTTAAATGTCTTCCATATGTGTGCATATCTTAAGTATTTGTGTCTGTCACTTTTCTTATTATATTATATTAAATTCATTTTTTCCATGAATACAATGAAATATGTAGATAAAACAGTAGTTTCACTTGCCCAAAGACTATATATCATAAGAAAAAAAAGTTTTAGTCAGACGGTTAAAACTATCTTGAAAATGTCATCTTATTGTGATAAGGCCAGGCCAGAGAACAATTCACTTTTCAGTTGTAGAGCAAAACAAAGTAGGTATCTTGAAAAGGTAAAATCAGAACCAGCAGTTATCCGTTGTACATGTCTAGACGAGATCTCTCTAGATTAGTGATACAAATGCAGCGCAGTATTCAGGGTGGACATGTTTCAGTAAAAACTCTCTGATTTCAGCTGAACCCGTGGTCACTCTTGCAGACACCACCAGCTCCAGTCTTGATACCATGTTGGTTTGCAGTGCTTACGACTTCTACCCCAAACACATCCGGATAACTTGGTTATGCAACGGACAGGAAGTGACCTCTGGTGTTACCTTGAGTGAGGTGATGACAAATGGAGACTGGACGTATCAGGTCCACTCTTTCCTGGAGATCACACCAGGGCGGAAGGACAAAATCAGATGCATGGTGCAGCACGCCAGCCTCAAGGAGCCCACCATTATTGACTGGGGTAAGGATCGGGGCCGTTCAGAAGGATGCTCAATGAAGCAGGAAGCCAAAAAAGGCCTGATTCTCAGGAACTCGGATCATCAGGGGATCCGAGCTCATAGAGCATGCTCACTTGCATTTCCTCAAGCCCCGCCTCCTTTCTGCTCTGTGACAGCCAGTCTCTGCACAGAACAATATCCTATTTTTTCTCAAATGCAGCATTATTTTGTCATTAACAAATACACATTGTACATTCTGCACATGTAATAATATGTTCTTGTCTTTTTATTGCAGACTCTGCCTTAAATAAGTCTGAGAGGAGCTACCTGATTGGTGGATTCTGCTGTCTGCTGTTGGGAGCAGTGTTTCTGTCCTCGGGAATGATCCAGTACAGAAGGAAAAGCTGCAATTACCACATTTAAAGCATTTTATAATCCAGCTAGTAGCTAGAACTGCCAGATACTTTTATTGGAAAAAGGGTTGAAACACTAGGCTGGATTTTAGTGGTTGGATTATTTCGAAATGTACTTCTTTAAACCTTTAACAAAAACGTTTTCACAAACTTTTGGAAATGATCTTTGATAATGATAAAATAAGATGAACCCTGATAAGATAAATCCCGGAAAATGAAGGTGTCAGAGCAGAAATAAGAGCGAAAAAATGTGAATATACATTTTAAGTTAAAGTATTTAATTAAAAAAATTACAATATGATTAGGTAAAACACAGAGAAGCTACATGTACAGTACATGTACAGACATAAATGAAGAATATCATGAATATGAAATGAAATAAATGTTGATGTCTATGTGTAAATCAAGTCTTCTTGTTGAGGTTGGTTTTGCTTTGTAGAGCTGAGGGGACATAAACTGGCTCTCCAACAGTTATAAGAGAGACTAAAGGATGATCAGAAGCCTATTTCAGAATCTGTATGTATCGGAAGTTAGCATCACAGGGGCTTCCTCAACAATAGCAATGAGATTTCTTTTTTTGAATATTGAAGAAAATATGATCTGTGGCAAACACACGTTTATTACATTACATTACATGTAATTTGTTAGACGCTTTTATCCAAAGCGACTTACATACATTCGGCACTGTGGACAATCCCCACAGGAGCAATTTGGGGTGAAGTGTCTTGCCCAGGGACACAACGACTTGCTGACTGCATTGGGGCTCGAACTTGCTATCCCCTGATTCGAAATCCAGCACACTAACTACTGAGCCACAGCCTCCCTCCGTTAATGATACCATCAGGTTTGTCCACAAGGATAATCTCCACATATTAACACCTCTTTAAAATAGTTGAAGTGTAAATGCAATCTCCAGAAGTAAAAGGGTACATTTACGCTATAAACAAACTAAATTACGGTCACATGACTTCAAGTCACCACCGCTAAGCTAAAATAGGCTAATGTTCGGCGAGATGACGTTTACCACTTGTTAGCAACCCCTGTTCTTTTTACACATATAAGCTTCAGACATTCAGGTGTGTTTACTGAAGAATTTGATGTCAAAGATTTTGTTAACCACAGACCTTATTTTCCGTTGAAGTCCCAGAAGTGCTAAATGCTAACTCATCCCCAGGTTTAAGGACTCATCCCTGCACCACTCTATTTCAGTGGAGTATGTATGAGTTATCGAGATATTTCAGTGGACACCTCTCTAATGTTTGAGTTCCCCTCCAGTGCTTACATCCTATCATCGCCACGGTTACACAGAGATATATGTGTATGTGAGTGTCACGGAACTCCGTCCCCATGGTGACGGTAAACAGTTTTGTCAGTGTAACTTACACACAGGTGAAACATTAGCCGGACAAAACTAAAGAGACACACACACACACACACATATACACAAACACACACACACTCTGGTCAGGACAGATGGCGGATCCACAGGGAACATCTAAGCCCATCAACTTTGTGCATCAAGATGAAATCTGGTAAACCTGCTCACTGTTATTTGATTTAATGTTGCTTACCATTGGTATTTATTGTATCACTCTTTGTGAAAGAGGCCAGAGTGATTCACAAAGTATTTGATTAGTTTTGGTGGGGGGGTTGGCGTAAAGTTGACTGGATGTTCAAAAGTCAGAATAAGTACTAATTATAATCTTTATTTTGTTTTAAAACATGAGACGTGTCTTCCTGTGTGATTATTGTGAATGACTTATTGTTAACACTTTAATATTGTTGTCATTTTTTAAATAATTGTTCTATGTTTTGTAGTTCGTAATCTTAATGTGTTTTCCACTGGGTTCATTTCACTCTCTTTAATGTAAAAATATTTTAGATGATATATCTGCAGGGCACCATTTTGTTGACATGGTATACATTACATTTTATTAGAAACATTGTGTATACATTTAAATATTTGGTAGTATTCAACCAGAAAATGTTATCATTACAGCATTAAAAAGTAAATACATGTTGTTTTAATTAAAAAAAGCGCACAGATCAATTTCCTTCTGCATGTTCTCTAGCTCTTGCTAGTACTAAGATGAACTACCTATATATGCCTTGTTTAAGCAAAAATAAGCCGTTTATTATTTTGTTAGCATCTAGCTACAGCTTTCCTTTTCCTTTTGTTTAGTGCAATTCAAATGGTCAGCATAAGAGAAACAAATGATACATATGATACAGTAAAACATCAGTGGGAGAACTAGACTCAAACAAACCAAACCAAAGAGCAGGCAGCAGCTACATCAACTAGAACAAAATAGATGGGTTTGCCAGTTTCAAATATATATAATATATGTGTGTGTGTGTGTGTGTGTGTGTGTGTGTGTGTGTGTGTGTGTGTGTGTGTGTGTGTGTGTGTGTGTGTGTGTGTGTGTGTGTCTGTGTGTGTGTGTGTGTGTGTGTAGGAAAGCACATGTAAAAGTTGAGAAGGATTCGGCTTCTGTCTGGCCAAGCAAGTGGGGCTCCCTGACCGAGGCTTACAAGGAGGTACACACACACACACACACACACACACACACACACACACACACACACACACACACACACACACACACACACACACACACACACACACACACACACACACACACGCACACACTACATATTGTTTGTAGCCTTTATTTAACCAGGTGAAAAATCCCATTGAGATCAACGATCTCTTTTTCAAGGGAGACCTGCGGTACATATCCTGCTGGGTAAGTATTATTGTAGTGAAGTAGTCTTCTGTATTAGCAGGGGACCGAAATACTCAAGTAAAGTACAATTATCTTAAAAGTGTACTTAAATCCTTTATTTACCAGTCATCAGTCACACACTGCCCTCTACTGTTGAAAAGTAGTTTCCTGCCGATATTGTGCAGTAACTGCTTATTATAGGCAGGCAAACCAATTGCACATACAGAGACACACCAAAGAAAACACACACATTGTTTCTGCATTCATTCATACAATAGTGAGGATCGCACAAGCTCACAACTTGGTTATATGTGTACAATTTGTTTCAGTACGAGAGGGAGTGTGTGAAGTTAAAGGAGGTCTTAAGAGCGGAGCCTCCCAGTGGCCCTGCAGCACGACCTTTGACCCCTACAGAAAGAAATATCCAAGTAAGTTATTTACATCCATACTTGTATTTTGAATGGATAAATTGTGCATAGTGTTCAAGTCATTCACTCAAAAGTCCATAGTTTGCCTCCTAATTTAGGTTGAGTAGAAGTTTAATAGTGAACAATGTAAACTACCTCCAATCTTACTACTACAGTGTAAAAATACTCTGTTACAAGTACAAATGTAAAAGTAATATTGGCATACAAAAGGCAATGGGGTAAAAGTATAAACTAGCATAAAATACTGAAGTGAAGTACAAGTATAGCTCAAATGCATACTTTGTATATTCCTTAGTTACTCTCCACCCCTGTGTACATCTATCTCACCCCATGTTTCTGTGCTCCAGGTGGCTCCTGCTCCTCCTGTCCCTCAAACAACGCAGGCTCTGATTGGCTGGCGCTCAGGTCATTCAAATCTTCAGCTGGAAAAATACGCCACAGTGAATCATGGGAGGTGTAGTTTTCTGAAGGAACTAGGCTGGCCTTTTGGCGCTTGCAGCTGATTGGAACTTGTGACTTTTACCGAAAAATAACTGACTGACTTATTAGTGAGTTATGCTTATGTAGAATTACAAAAATTAAAAACATCAATCACAATATGACGTGTTATACTACAGATGTGGGAGGGATGGACATGTTGTTTATCAGGCATCAATGCGTAACATCCAGCAGTTATTTGCTTCCTGAATTCTGACCTGATGTTTTTATCGTGGTTTATCAGACATATCATTAAATTAGAACAAACATGATCACTTATGATCTTAACCAGGGTTTTTTTGTTTTGGACAATTGCCTTGCATTCACATTTAGAAAAGATATACCAACTTATACATTCTGACAGAGGTGAAATTAAAACAGTTAAAATTATCAGGTTGTTATACAATAAAAAGACTGTAGGTGCTGAAATATAGAACTTATATAAAATAAAATAAAACGAGACCATTTTGAAATAGAAGCAGTATGAATTATTATAATAAGAGAAAAAGTCAACTTAACTAGATCAGAATGACATAAGTTATTATTGAGCTAAAAATAGTAAATATTAATAATATAAATAATAATGAATTAAAAAAACGTTTTTATACTTTTGGCAATAGCAATATTAATAACAAAAAATTAAAGTGTTATAACTATATGTAGAAAATGTTTTTTAATTCTGAAGGTAAACGATTTCTAAAAATAGATTTATTTTTCTGGCAGATATTTAACAGCTCATTTGTGAATTTCCCTGAACGCATGACACGCATGAGTCACGTAACAGCGCTGACGTAATGACATCACGGGGCCTTTCTGGAAGAGGCGGAAGAAGAGACAAAAACAACAACAACCGCAGCAGCGGCAGCCCTCCGCTCGGTTACTAACGTTATAGTTATCTAGAAAGACAACCAAGCAATTTAACGACCACCTGTCCGGTACCACAAAGGGCCGGCTGTTCGTCTACGGTTAAATCAGCCGTTATTGTTTACATTTACTAACAAAATGTCGGTGTTTGGTAAGTTATTCGGCGGCGGGGGTAAGGGTGGGAAAGCGCCGACACCCCAGGAGGCTATCCAGAAACTCCGAGAAACCGAGGAGATGTTGGCCAAAAAACAGGACTTTTTAGAAAAGAAAATCGGGGAGGAGCTCGTTACGGCGAAGAAGAATGGCACGAAAAATAAACGAGGTGAGAAAGAAAGCTCCTGAAGTTGACGGGTTAGTCAAACCGCTAGTTAGTTAGTTTGTTAGTTAGCCTGCGGGCTAACGACAGGGAAGGAACCGGGAAGTTGACAGGCTTTCATGTTAACGGCAACTGAACACGGTCACCTGACTCTAAATGTGTCTTTAAAAGGCAGCACAGTGTTAATACTATTTCTGTAGAATGAAATGAACTGAAAGAGACACATCAAACAACAAGTGAGCGTTACTAACCTACAAACTTGACTGTATTGTTTCATTCACTTTGTGGCTCTGTAACGTAACGTCTGACTAACTAACTACTAACTAGGCAGTAGCTTGTTCACTTAATGACAACCAGTCACAAGTAGATATAGTATGTTACTATCTTTTATATTACGGATTTAACCGAAAATAAATATACATACATTTCTAAACTGAATAAACAAATGATTAAAAATGCAAGAAATCGAAATAATAGCAAAAAAAGAGGAAGCAAACAGCATTAATGGGTAGCTAACAACAATTAAATATATAAAAGATAGAATAAAACAACCAAAGGAGTAAGAACAAAACAGTATGTTAAGGATAGGTATTAAAACACAGAATAAGTCGCATTTAAAGGCAATGTAGTGTACATATATTTATGATCTAACAGCTTGCATTTATTATAGCCGTAGTCATTCCAAAAAGTTGGTTCTTATTTGTGTGATAGTATATAAACCAACCCTAAAATAGGTTATGTAACTCAGAACCAGAGAACCTTGTAAAATAGTCAAAGAAAAAAAAAGTCTTCGACAATAGTAAAAAATGAAACTGACCTGTGACATGCTTTGAGTGACACAAAGTTCTTGCTAAAAGTATCCGGGTAATACGCTTAATGTTTTCAAAATACTAAAGTTCCTACTCTTTGTTTGTGTCCACTCCATGCAGCCCAGAGTGTTCCTGTCATCAGATGATCTGATTGATAAAGGCTTGTTTAACAACACAGACAACTGTGAGAGGCTGTTTGAAATATCCAAATACTTCTGCTGTATGACTTTAGAAAGAAAAAAAGAGGCTCGTAGTCGTAACTCATTACCCAAATAGTGACTTAAAAGAGTAAATACATATTCTCTTGCCATTTATTTTCTTAAATTCCTATGATGACAACTAACATTAATATGTACTCTTATTTCATACTTTCATAAATAGGAACGTGTTTGTTTTCAACAAAGATAATGGATTAAAAAACGTTTTTGTTATCAAATGGAAGTTTTTAGTATTTTGGGACTTTTTAATGAATTTAAGGCAGGGGTGTCAAACTCAATTTCATCGCGGGCCACATTCGCATAAAGGTTGCACTCAAAGGGCCGGTTGTAACTATATAAATATATAATATATATATATATGAAATAATGTATTATATTACATTATTGCCTCTGAATTGGATTATTATCGGATAGGATAATAACTTAGTAATTAACTACGTCTGAAAGCAGAAGTCCAGGGCAAATAATTGCAAGTCTCTTCAGTGCGCATGTCACAAAACGAGATGCATTGTGGGACATGTAGTTTATGGGCAACCTGCTTCTGTAAAGTGGCAGGTAACCGTATAATAAACATATTATATTCTTTGCAAGCTCTTGCGGGGCCACATAAAATGAAGTCGCGGGCCGGATTTGGCCCCTGGGCCTTGAGTTTGAGACCCCTGATTTAAGGCATTCTTGTAAGACTTTTTAAGATAGTAATTTAACATTAATATATGTAGTGCTTTAAATGTCAGCATATGAAGTTTGCACTGTGGCAAAAAGTGCCTTAAGAATGATGTGCTCTGGATGATCAGGGTTTCATTTGAACATAGGCAGCTTCCTTCTATCTAGCAAACACTGCTTACAGGGAGCGGCCAGGACTTTACGTTTGGCAATGATCCTTATCAACTGCACTATGATCTGTTTGATATTGTATTGTGGAAGACGTGGCACTGACGTAGTGTTGGTAAGGCCTGTAGAGGATGTGCTCATTCACAACAGCACTCGGATGCTGCATTTAAAGCCACGGCTTCATCTAAGGCAGGGGTGTCAAACTCAAGGCCCGGGGGCCAAATCCGGCCCGCGACTTCATTTTATGTGGCCACGCAAGAGCTTGCAAAGAATATAATACGTTTATTATACGGTTACATGCCGCTTTACAGTATATCTATATATGTTCATTTTAATTAATTTCTTATTTTATAGTTATTTATCTTTTTTTTTTTGTCTTTGATTTATCCTTAATTTTATTAATCTGCGTGAATCAGTGCTGTCCTGTTTTTCAATCTTACCCTGTTGCTGTTAAACTACTGAATTTCCCCACAGGGATTAATAAAGGTCCATCTTATCTTATCTTACAGAAGCATGTTGCCCATAAACTATATGTCCCACAATGCATCTCATTTTGTGATTTACGCACTGAAGAGACTTGCAATGATTTGCCCTAGACTTCTGCTTTCAGACGTAGTTAATTATGAAGTTATTACCCTATCCGATAATAATCCATTGCAGAGGCAATAATATAATATAATACATTATTTCATATATATTATGTATTTATATATGTATATTTATATAGTTACAACCGGCCCTTTGAGTGCAACCATAATGCTAATGTGGCCCACGATGAAATTGAGTTTGACACCCCTGATCCAAGGGCTTTAAGAAATCCCACACTTCACAGCAATTTCAACTTTCCAGAACAATGACGCAAACTTTGGAAAGTTGTCATTGCAGCAATAACATGCTCCTCCATCTAAAAACAGTCAAGTAAAAAAAAGTAAAATTAGCACAGTCTTAAATAGTACACTCAGCTGGTTATTATATTGAATATGTACTTAAACATGTTATTGAGCAACAGAGTGGTGTCAACATGCTGACCACAATACATTTTCACTAGATTCAGTCCTGTATAAAAAGTCAATGGTTACAAAATTGTGAAATAAAAAAAGATGACTGTATTCTTTATCTTGCACATGTTTAATAGAGTTATATTATTATTTGCATTAGTGGTTCTGCATTAGAGGACTCTGTTACAGCTCGTATTAACCTCAAAGCTGTATTTGTTTATACTTCAACTGGACAAAAAAGCGTCTGTTCTGTTTACCTGCGCTGCTACAAGTTGGCTCGGCTCAACTCATTTGTATACGTCTGCTATCAGATCGCATTGCCAGAAAGATGGAATAAATGACAACACACTTTAATACCAGAGGCCTGTACTACGAAGCTGGTTCAACCTAACCTGGATATGTTTGAGTTAGCCGGTTGGCCTAATCCAAAACATACGTGCTCTCGCTAAGCTGTACTACGACGCTGGTTATCAAGTGGATCGCTCAAGCCAGCCGTGTCCTATCTAGTTAGGTGCGCGTTCACATGAAAGGGGTGGTATTTGGAGCATTCGACCAATCACAAACATGGACAACCGTACTGACAGCGCAGCGTCATACTTCCTGAATGAAAAGTCAACTTTAATATTAGTCAAATATGAAGAAGTTAAACTTTAAACATCCATGACTTAAACACTTTATCCAGGATAAAAGCCACATAGCTGCACCTGCAAGGTGAATACAGCTGGTAAAAGAAAAATCGTTTGAATGCGTAAACTTTCTTAACGCTAATGTTATAATAGTCAGATTGCTCTGAAGATGGGAGGGGATATTCTATTAATTTTCACGTTCACACAGTCAGTTGATTTTTGATTTTTACAGTTTTTCTGTATTTCCTCTATCCTGTAATATGACTTGATAGCTTTAAACTCCGCACACGGAGCTCTGATTGGTCAGCAGGCGGTGCTTTCACTGAGTTGATCTCTTAGCCTGCAACCTAACCTGCTCCGGAGGAGGTTAGCCGCTCAGCATAAGTTACCATGGAAATCTAGCCCGCTAAAAAGAGAACCAGCGTCGTAGGACCGGAAAGCCCG